CTCCATCTCCTACCGACCAACCTCATCCCGCCCCCTTGACCTGTCCGTCCTCCCTGGACTGACCTATCCCCTTCCTAACTCCCTACCTACACTCACCTTTCCTGGCTCCATCCCCGCCTCTTCGACCTGTTTGTTTCCTCTCCACCTATCCTCTCCTCTATCCCTCTTCTATCCGCCTCCCACTCTCTCCCTATTTATTTCAAAACCCCCTTCCCCTCCCCCTTTTCTGATGAAGGGTCTAGGCCCGAAACGTCAGCCTCTCTGCTCCTATGATGCTGCTTGGCCTGCTGTGTTCATCCAGCCCTGCACCTTGTTGTCTCATATAGATTTAACTTGGCTATCCAGAAATCTTGGCCAATAACTTTGCCTTAAATGATCACCCGCTTCACTGCATGAACAGTACATTCTGTGAGACCTATGGATTGAGGATTGTAAGGCGAGGAGTGATGTTTTGAATACCCAAGTTCTGCAGGTCTTGGAAGGGTACATGAGTCTACTCCAGACTGTTGTCGGACACAATTTATTGAGAAGCACTGAGCATACTGAATATGGTAGTTACAGTGCCAATAGCTATTGAACAATTGGTGCTTTTGTTTTGTTTCAGCAGAAGGTATTTGGTGAAAATGTCATTCACAGGATATAGTTAAATCCTTGGTCTGGAAAAATATCAAATGCAATCTTGCATGGCGGCTCATATGGAATTTTGTGTGGAATGAGATATTCTGTTGATGGTTGAGGTTGATAGAATTGACGTGTTTTCTATAAGTTGATTAGTTGATCAACGTGCTTTTTGATGCCAGGTCAAAAGATTGATTCTTGTGCCAATCTCTTGTTTCTTTTCTGTGTACATGTGACCTATGGCAAAGCATATCTCAAAGTAGAGCTTGTAAAATAATTACCTGTTTGCCTTCAAAGACTGCATTTTTAGACTCTGCTAATTTATCCGAGTTGTGGAACATTTAGAAAGGGGTATGTGCAATGAGACCTGAGCATCCCGTACCCCAGTTGCTGAAAGTAAACATGCAGGTGCAGCAGGTAGTGAAGAAGACAACAGTATGTTGGTCTTGATTGAGAGAAAATTTAAGTACTAGAGCAGGTAAGTCTTACTGCAATTGTACAGGGCCTTGGTGAGACCATACCTTGGGTATTGTCTGCAGTTTTGTTCTCCTTTTCTGAGGAAGGGTGTCTTGGCTCTGGAGAGAGTGCAACAAAGATTTACCAGACTGATTCCTTGAATGGCAAGCCTGAAGTATAAAGAGATGTTGGATGAGTTGGGACTATATTCGCTGGAGTTTAGGAAAAAAGGGGGTACCTTACAGAAACCTATAAAATTCTAACAGGAATATACATGGTAAATGCTGGAAGGATGTTCCCAATGACTAGAGAGTCCAAACCAGCGGTCATAGTTTAAGGGCATGGGGTAAGCTTTTTAGGATTGCGATGAGGAGAAATTTCATCACCCAGGGAGTTGTGAGTCTGTGTCATTCTCTGCCATGGAAAATAGTTGAGACCAAAATGTTGGATGTTTTCAAGAAGGAGTTAGATATAGTTCTTAAGACTAAAGGGACCAAAAGGTATGGGGAGAAAGTGGGAACAGGTTACTGAGTTGGATGAACAGCCATGATGAAACTAAATGGCAGAGCACACTAGAAGGGCTGAAAGGCCTACTCCTGCTCTTCTGTTTCTATGAAAGTTGTAGTTAATTCTTGGAAAATAAAAGTCAAAAGAACTCCGGATGCTGTGAATCAGGAACAAAAACAAAGTTGCTGGAAAAGCTCAGCAGGTCTGGCAGCATCTGTGAAGGAAAAAACAGAGTTAACGTTTCGGGTCTGGTGACCCTTCCTCAGAACAGTGTGGGTTGTAATTCTTGGACATTGCTGCCATATTTTTGGCAGTTCCTTGGTTGACTCTTTTTTTGCCTGCTGCTGTGGAGAGTGGCATTGCACTTTAGGTTTCTCAGAGCACTTGGCCTAATTGCACACTTTAGCCCAATGTCCTTTTACATGTCCCAAAACACTGGACACTGTTTTGGTAGATGAGACAATCCACATATTCAAAATTGCTCGGGCATTTTGCTGTTTTTCCTGCAAAAATAGCTGCAGAATCAAACAACTGCAGACACTGCTGGCCTGTTACAATTGCTTACAATTTATGTCCTTCTTCCAGCAGTGTATCAATGCATTTCATAATAATGTGATTGGTGTAGAGATAATGAACAGTTACACTTGCCTTTCAGCTCGGTTAACTTTGTGAAGTGAAGTAAAATCGCATTTCATACCTTTGTGTGGTATCTGCCTATGAATTCTTTTTTAATATAGAATCCCTACAGTGTGGAAACAGGCCATTTGGCCCAACAAGTCCACACCAACCCTCCGATGAGCTTCCCACCCAGACTTTGCACCCCGACCTCTGTAACCTTGCATTTCCTATGGCTAATCCCCCTAACATACTCATCCATGGGCACTATGGGCAATTTAGCATGACTAATCCACCTAATCTGGACGTCTGTGATCAGTGGGAGGAAACCGGAGCACCCGGAGGAAACCCACACAGACATGGGGAGAATGTCCACACTTCACACAGGCAGTTGCCCAGGGCTGAAATTGATCCCAGGTCCCTGGCGTTATGAGGCAGCAGTCTAACCACTGAGTCACCAGAGAACTGGTCAATATTTTCATTTAGCTATTGATGGTCTGACATGAACTCAAACCTCCAAGTACTGAAGTTGATTCTGACCATAAAGTTGAGCTTCTAGGACTTGCAAAACCTTGTATGGATCTTTGTGGTCATCACTGAAAATGCCAGAGGGTTAATTCTTGTCAACTCTTCGTTGGGGGAGGAGATGGCCTAATGGTATTATTGCTGGACTGTTAACCCAGAAACCCAGATAACATTCGGGGGACCTGGGTTCAAATCCTGCCATGGCAGATGGTGGTATTTGAATTCAATAAATACCTGGAATGAAGAGTCTAATGATGACTGTGAATCCATTGCCAATTGTTGGGAAAAATCTATCTGGTTATTTAATGTCCTTTAGGGAAGGAAACTGCCATCCTTACCTGTCAGACGTATATGTGACCTCCCAGTCGCGAACCATTTCAACTCCCCCTCTCATTCCTCAGACGACATGTCCATCCTGGGCCTCCTGCAGTGCCACAATGATGCCACCCGAAGGTTGCAGGAACAGCACCTCATATTCCGCTTGGGAACCCTACAGCCCAATGGTATCAATGTGGACCTCACAAGCTTCAAAATCTCCCCTCCCCCTACCACATCCCAAAACCAGCCCAGCTTGTCCCCGCCTCCCTAACCCATCCTTCCTCCCACCTATCCACTCCTCCCACCCCAAGCCATCTCCTACCTTTAGCCTCATCCCGCCCCCTTGACCTGTCTGTCCTCCCTGGGCTGACCTATCCCCTCCCTAGCTCCCCACCTACACTCACCTTTACTGGTCCATTCCCGCCTCTTTGACCTGCCTGTCTCCTCTCCACCTATCTTCTCCTCTATCCATCTTCTATCCGCCTCCCCCACTCTCCCTATTTATTTCAGAACCCCCTTCCCCTCCCCCATTTCTGAAGAAGGGTCTAGGCCCAAAACGTCAGCTTTCCTGCTCCTGTGATGCTGCTTGGCCTGCTGTGTTCATCCAGCTCTACACCTTGTTATCTCAGATTCTCCAGCATCTGTAGTTCCCACAGTGATGTGGTTGACTTTTAATTGCCCTCTGGGCAATTAGGGATGGGCAATAAATGTTGCCTAGCCAGCAACAACCTCACCCCGTGAATGAATAAAGAGGAAAAAAAATCTCAAAAATAACAAATTTGACAGTCTGTTATATTTTGTCTGCAATACATTGGTCTATAAAGTGAAGATTAATTCTTTCTTTGAATAATTGAAATTTGGAAGGAATATCACTGTGAAGCTAATCAATGCTCAGATGTTTGCTTTCCATCCTTATTGTGTTGTATTGTGTTCTTTAAAAATGCAGATAATAATCTACATTTCGGTGTAGTGCTTTTACAGTTTTGGTTTATTTGTTGTTGCATGTCTCTCATTTTGTTTCTATTCTTTGTTTATTACTTTAGAAGTTGCTGCTTTGACAGTTGCAGCCTTGAGCCAATAGGTGGTCTTCACACCAAAAAAGTGTTGTGATGTCATGCATACATTTTCTGTTACTTTTTGCTGATTTTGAAGACAAGATGATGGGATAGACTGATCTCTGGATGCAGGTATGGCCTTCTTAATTTTTAAAATGAATTCTTAAATGTATTTTTTCCCATTTCTTTTGTAATATTTTATTCTAGTAGGGTTTTTAACAGAATTGAGCTATCTTTTCAAGATCTTTTTAAAAGTCCTGATTTTAACATGATCCATTGTGGCCTTCCTCCATGTACAGAGTCACAGATTGTCCCTT